CGCCAACATCTTTCTTCAAGACAACACATGGCCTGTATCCACTTTTCACCATTGACCCTTATTCATGTCACAAATCATTTTTGTTTCGTTAGATTCACTCTCAGGCCATTTGACTCGACCATTGTTCCATTTCTTAAATTTCTCTAACTGCCTTTTCAATAATATTAGCTATCAACACAAGTCATCAGCATACAACAGGGCCCAGGGCAGACCAGCCTCGAAGCCCCGTGGTATTGTCTCCAGTACCATGATAAACAGAAGGGGGCTCAAGACAGGCCCTTGATGGACTCTAATTTTACCTAAAAATTTTCACTTTCCTCGCCATTTGCTCTATTTTTAGACTTCTTATAATGCCATAACCCCTAATAAGACGTTCCTTGACTCCTCGCTTTCTCGTTGCCCACTCTACTTTACATGGTACTGTGTCACAACTGTCACATGCCTTCTCAAAGTCTACAAATACGACTTTCCTTCCCAAGATATTTCTCTTGTGATTTGCTGACCATAAATATTGCCTCTGTAGTTCCCCTACCTGGCATGAACCTAAACTGCATATCGCTCATGTCCATTCTCTCCCGTATCAATTTTTCGATCACTCTGCAACTTTCAAAACCCTATCTAATAGTTTCGGGTCCCTGTAGTTCCCTCGCTCAAGTGCATCACCTTTACCATTTTAAGTATTCACGGCCACACTCCTCCACCACTCGTCTGTAACAGTACATTCCATCATGATTGCATTAGTCAATTCGGCCACTATTGACATGCCTACGTCTGATGCTGTCTGCATTTCTGCAACTATTCAGAACTTCCAGCACTCTTTCTATTCTTCATTTTGTCAATTGCTTTCTTCATCCCCTCTCTCTCTCTCTCCCTCTCCCCCAATCCGTGGGCATGGTCCCTGTACAGAGCACACCAAGTCCTTCCCTCACTCCTACATCATTCCAATCTCGTCGGGAAGACTGGCTTAACGCGATCTTAACCTTTCCGCACCAATTCTTAGTAAAAATGGCATGGGAGAACAGGTGCCAGTCAATGGTTGATGTTGACCAGATATTTAGTTATAATACCCATTCTTATAATAAACTTTTTCAGAGGATAGGAATATTGCAATAAAAAAGTATAAAAAGTGGTATTATTACGTGAAATGAAACCAGTAGTGATTTTAATCATAACGAAAAATAAAAGTCACTTATTATTAATGAGAAAATAAAGTCTACAAAATCATATTATATTTTTTCACTGAAGTATGAGAGACGACCTAGTGAAAGCGAAGCTCATGAGAGGTGGCTAGATTTTTGTTTTCACAAAGGTTGACCCAATAAGTGACGATATGAGGTTGGACTTGGGCATCAAATATCATCGACAGGGGAACACCGTGCCAGCAGACTTGTCTTGGTTTGTCGGCATTAGGCACTGGACTTCTGGAAAAGGCTTGTTTTCACTGACGTAAATTCTTCACTTAAGTATCCTATCCGCAACTACTTCTCAGTATCATTCGTAGCACCATACCACTAGAATCACCATATAAAAACGATAATTGTAAAGAGGTCATTTTGGTTTACCCGGTGTTAGGCTATATAGGTCGAAACGTGACTTACGACGGCATATGGTTTCATTATACGCTATTAATGTTTTCATGAAATATAATGTGCACCTAAAAATGTGTATCAGCTTAAAGTCATATGTCGGATTTGGAAAATAATTATAGCTGAGTAATTGGTCGACATCAATTATTAACTGACACCTGTTTTCCCATACTGTCCTTACCCGAGGAAGGGCAGCAGTAGTGCGGGGAGGTAAAGGTTAGTGTGTTTCTCTGGCTTTGGAGCCTTAGATTACAGATAACCAATTACACCACAATAAATCAAACAACGTAATGCTACGGTAGATACGTATTCCTATACCATAATCACCTCTTCCACTTCCATCACTCCTTTGTGTGCAAAATAAATATGATTATATTATGCAACACGGAACTCAAGTACTCCCCGTCTTTCCCCATCCCTCTTCCCTCTCCCTCCCATCCCCGCACACAAACACTGTTACCAGATCGTCAGCTGATGCTACCTCTCTGGTCGTCTGGCTGGGTGTTCAACGTGGAAGAATCCGGGACTGTACGTTATTACAGGGGACACATCAGATGTACAGTTACCCAAAAAAGTGCTGTCGCGAACCATGAACCCCGAGATTCAGACTCTTGAATCCGAAGCATTTATGGACAGAATAATGTAGACACTGATACATTATTCTGTCTATAAATGCTTCGGATTCAAGAGTCTGAATCTCGGGGTTCATGGTTCGCGACAGGGCTTTTTTGGGTGACTGTACAAATATCTTGCACAGATGACCTCAAACTATTATATCCGGTAACAGAAACACTAAAGTTTCATTAATATCTTATCTGGTTGTGAAGTATTATGACAATTATTGACCAACAGAGAGAAAGACATCGTCATATTGTGCTTCGGACAAGAGGTCTTCAGACAAGCAGATAGACGAACAAACACTAAACGTTATTGGGCTGTGTTTACCAAACCTGCCAGGTGTTGCATCTCTCTGGGGACCTTAACTGTTAATCTCGTTCATCCCTCACAGTCTATCTACCATCATCCTGTTATCGCTAATTATACGACATCCTGGGGTCTGCTTCCCCCCCCCCCCCTCCCCACCTTCACTTTTACAGATTTACATCTCTTATATTATTTCCTTAACCTTAATTATATGAAAACCACCCCAGTGTCTCCCCTGGCCCTCCTGCCCTCACTCTTATCCACCAAATAAAAATATAAACTACTACAAGGAATAAATTACGTCTACCTTAAGCAACAATTTCCTTTAATAATTCTAATACTTGACGACGGTTGTGTGCCTGAACCAGCAACTTAAAGACGTTAACTTTTCACCTGAGTTGATAAATGCTTTCTTATCTCATAGAAAAAAAGTCGTATGTTTACAATTATTTCCGTTCTAACTCATTTGTTTACTTCCGGAGAGGTTCATTGGTTCTTATCATATAGTATTTTTCTTAAGGATTATAATAAATTACTTTAGATTATGTTAGGTAGTTCACTTACCTCACGCTAGGGCAGGTAACTTACTGTCAGGCAACTTAAATTACGTTATGTTTGGTAACAATATGTTACCGTTATGTTAGGTTTCTTTAGATAGGTTAGGTTTCTTAGGTTAAGAACATAAGAACATAAGAATGGAGGAAACTGCAGCGGGCCTATTGGCCCATACTGGGCAGTCCTGTTTACACCCAACCCCTATTGCTCATATGAGCATCCAACCTATGTTTGAAGCAATTCAGCGTATTCGAGTTAATGATGATATTTGGTAACTTGTTCCATTCATCCACTATTCTGTTTCCAAACCAGTGTTTACCTATTTCACTCCTAAATCTAAATTTGTCTAATTTAAAACCATTGTTACGAGTTCGCTCCTGGTTGGATAGTTTGAGTACCTTTGTAATGTCCCCTTTCTTTAGCCCTGCCTTCCACTTATACACCTCTATCAGGTCGCCCCTCGCTCTACGTCTCTCAAGGGAATGCAAATTAAGATGCTTTAACCTGTCTCTATACTCAAGGTTCCTAATGCCCGGGATTAGTCTTGTCATTCTCCTCTGAATTCTTTCCAAGGATTCTATATCCATTCTGTAATACGGTGACCAGAACTGAACTGCGTAATCCAGGTGTGGTCTCACAAGAGCAAGATACAGTTTTAGGATGACCTCGCTAGTCTTGTAACTAACACTCCTTAGTCATGTTCACTACACCACATGTTCACTATAGCAGTACACCACATGTTCACTATAACAGTATATCACATGTTCACTATAACAGTACACATCATGTTCACTACACCACATTTTCCCTATAACAGTACACATCATGTTCACTACGCCACATGTTCACTTTAACAGTACACATCATGTTCACTACACCACATGTTCACTATAGCAGTACACCACATGTTCACTATAACAGTACATCACATGTTCACTATAACAGTACACATCATGTTCACTACACCACATTTTCCCTATAACAGTACACATCATGTTCACTACACCACATGTTCACTAAAGAGGTACACCACATGTTCACTATAACAGTACACCACATGTTCACTACAACAGTACATCACATGTTATAACAGTACACATCATGTTCACTACACCACATGTTCACTATAACAGTACATCACATGTTCACTATAACAGTACATCACATGTTCACTATAACAGTGCACATCATGTTCACTACACCACATGTTCACTATAACAGTACACATCATGTTTACTACAAGAGTACATCACATGTTCACTATAACAGTACACATCATGTTCACTACATCACATGTTCACTATAACAGTACACTACATGTTCACTACAACAGTACATCACATGTTCACTATAACAGTACACATCATGTTCACTACATCACATGTTCACTATAACAGTACACTACATGTTCACTACAACAGTACATCACATGTTCACTATAACAGTACACCACATGTTCACTATAACAGTACACTACATGTTCACTACAACAGTACATCACATGTTCACTATAACAGTACACATCATGTTCACTACATCACATGTTCAATATAACAGTACACATCATGTTCACTACACCATATGTTCACTATAACAGTACACCACATGTTCACTATAACAGTACACATCATGTTCACTACATCACATGTTCACTATAACAGTACACATCATGTTCACTACATCACATGTTCACTATAACAGTACACATCATGTTCACTACATCACATGTTCACTATAACAGTACACATCATGTTCACTACATCACATGTTCACTATAACAGTACACATCATGTTCACTATAACAGTACACCACATTTCACTACACTACGTTACTATTTTACCAGACAAAATACCTCTTACTACATTACTAAGCAGCGTAATAACTCAACAACACACGGCCAGCTGTTTATCACTCACTCCACCACTTATTACATGATGTTTGTACCTAAGTTGTTCACCTTTACACTCCTGTTTACTTGTGCAGGGTTTTCCTACGGGCGCCAGCAGCCACCTACAGCAAACGTTGCTTATAGGTCAATGAAGCCGTGGCCAACGACTAACATACCTCTCGTTATAAGTTCCTCCTTCAACACGGCTGCCAAAAAGGGTATTTTTCAGGGTATACGCATGTTGCACGAGAGTACGTGTGTCAGGTTCGTGTCAGTAAATAAACGTAACCAGAATCACGTGAAGATGCAGGTTGCAAACGTATATAACACCATCCACGGGTACCACAACAAGCCTGGGTACGTGTCCAAGGTCAACCTACGTGTGCCAGGATGCGCCGAAAAGCCGGCGCACGTGACGCACGAGTTGATGCACGTGCTAGGCTTCTTCCACGAGCACCAGCGTATGGACCGTGATGAACACATCGTGGTGAGGTACGAAAACATGAAGAAAGGCACTAATGTAATCGATTATCATGTGCAATATAACGAGACACTGGGGCTGCCTTACGACATCGGCTCCATTATGCACTATGGTCCTCGAGGGTCACGTAAAGACCATCACTCCAAAACCATAGAAGCCAGGCCTGGGGAGCCCTCCTCCTCACTCATGGGCCAAAGGACTAACCTCAGTGTTATTGACGTGGCCAGGGTCAATCGTCTGTACCGGTGTACCGAACATTACCTGGGTGACGACCTGCCCGGAGCCCAGCGCTACCAAGAGTGGGTCAACAGCCACTGATTTGAAGCAAACTAACAATTGTAGACACGTTCACGTATGAAATAAAATGTTGATAAAATATTACTTAATTTACTTATCCTATTTACTGTTTTTCCATATATAAGTGTAATATAAACGACACGAATCACACACACACACCCACCAAAACCTACTACCACTTATTTCCAGCCAATACACTGAGGATCCACCCCGATGATGTCCCGTGGATTACGCCCCGCATAAAAAGACTTAATGAGCAGCACAACAAGGCGTACTACACCAACAACCGCCTGTACAGAAGTCTACGTAACCAGGTCATCAGTGAAATCAAGTCTGCCAAGAAGACTTATTATCCCAGGAAAGTGCACGGCCTCAAGGAGGTCGGCATGGGTCAGTGGTTCTCTAAGGTAAAAGATCTCTGTGGTCTCAACCGTCAGTATCCAACACTTCCTATCATCTCACATTTACCTAGTGAGGAGGCAGCTGAGATAATTAATAACCATTTTGCTACCATATGTCATACCTTACCCAGTCTTGACCTCACTCTCCTCCCAGCTTACTTACCTTCCCCCTTCCCCCCTCCCAGTGTCATAAGAACATCAGAACATAAGAATGGAGGAAACTGCAGCGGGCCTATTGGCCCATACTGGGCAGTCCCGTTTACACCCAACCCCTATTGCTCATATGAGCATCCAACCTATGTTTGAAGCAATTCAGCGTATTCGAGTTAATGATGATATTTGGTAACTTGTTCCAGTCATCCACTACTCTGTTTCCAAACCAGTGTTTACCTATTTCACGCCTAATCTAAATTTGTCTAATTTAAAACCATTGTTATGAGTTCGCTCCTGGTTGGATAGTTTGAGTACCTTTGTAATGTCCCCTTTGTTTAGCCCTGCCTTCCACTTATACACCTCTATCAGGTCGCCCTCGCTCTACGTCTCTCAAGGGAGTGCAAATTAAGATGCTTTAACCTGTCTCTATACTCAAGTTTCCTAATGCCCGGGATTAGTCTTGTCATCCTCTGAATTCTTTCCAAGGATTCTATATCCATTCTGTAATACGTTGACCAGAACTGAACTGCGTATCCAGGTGTGGTCTCACAAGAGCAGTATAGCAGTTTTAGATGACCTCGCTAGGTCTTGTAACTAAATGTTCCCTTTGTATGAACCCAAGTACTTTTATTAGCTCTGTTACGAGCAAAATCACATTGTTTACTTGGCTTTGCTGTCCTACTTATCATACCCTTAAATTCTGCAGTCAGATTTCATGGCATCGTTGTTCATCTGGTATCTGGCTCTGCTACACTTCCTATACTGAGTAATTTACATTTGTCGACGTTGAATTTCATCTTCATTTTCAAATTCATTCGAAAAATTTTTTTAGATCTTCCTGTAGTTTTGCGGAGTCCTCGTCAGATTTAATTACACGCTCTATTTTAGTGTCATCATCAAATTTACTTATGTTGCTGTCTACTCCGATATCTATGTCGTTTATGTATATAATAAATAATAATGGCCCAAGTACTGAGCCCTGGGGAACTCCACGAGTGACTTTTTTCCAATGGGATTTAGTGCCGTTAATGCTCACTCGCTGTTTCTTGCATTAAAATCACGCCCTAATCCATTTTAGAATATCTCCTTTAATGCCATGAGCTTCCACATTTCTTATTAGTGTTTCGTGGGGGACTCTGTCGAAGGCCTTGTTAAAGTCGAGATATATCATATCATAATTATGCCCCTCGTCCACTGATTCGAAAACAAGTGAAAAGAATGTTAATAGATTAGTTAGACATGAACGCCCGCTTGTGAAGCCATGTTGGGAATCATTGATCAACTTGTGCTTCTCCAGGTGATTTTGAATAGAGTTTGAAATGTTTGCTTCCAGCACTTGGCCCATTATTGATGCTAGACTGATTAAGGGTAAAGAGTATACATCTATCCTTCTTGAAAATCGGTATTACATTCGCTATCCTCCAGATTCTGGTACTACACCTGTTTTTAAGGACATGTTAAACAACTTTGCTAAGGGCATACTAAGCTCTTCCTTACATTCCTTTAATACTCTGGCAAATATCTCATCGGGACCAGGTGATTTATTAGGCTTTAATTTGTCTATATGCTTACTAACATCGTTACTAGTCACTACTATCTCACTTATTTTGTTTTCTTCACTATTTCTGAATAGAGTTGGGTTAGATAACTTGGGTTAGGTAAGTTAGATAGGTAGAATTGAGGTTGGACTGGGTTAGGAAGGTTGGGTTGGGCTTGGTAGGTTAAGTAGGGTAGGCTGAGTAGGGTATGGTAGAATCTTAAGAAAATATTCCAGTACCTTCACGAAGATTCCACCAGTTACTCCTGGCAACTGCTGGTCTATATCCAAATCTTCAATAATGTACAAAAAATATCGACATCCTAATCTACCATCTAACCATCCCGGAAGTAAACAACACATCATGGCGTCGGAACTCACATCTCCCGACCGTGGAAGAGTTTTCAAGGACAAAATTGTGAAAAGCTAACAATAAATGTTTTCATTGTCCACTCTTTGTCTCCATGAGGTAAGAAAGTATTTATCTATGGAGAGATATCGTCGATTCAGGCACTCAACCGTTCAGTATTAGATTTTATCTATCTAAATCATCCATAAAATCTCCCTCACTTAATGACGAAGACACGGAGAGACAGAAACATAAGTTGAGTGACAGATAAAATTACATGTGTGTGGCTAGACAGAGGGACGAGATGAGAGATAAGGTGGGTACACATAAGAGACAGACTATAAGATAAATGAATAACCAGAGTTAGACAGATAAAGTGATAGATGGAGAGAGAGAGAGAGAGAGAGAGAGAGAGAGAGAGAGCTCCGATACTTGGACATCTCCACAAATGGTTCTTAAAAATGTAAGGAAAACAGAAGAGGGAGTCACGTGCTTGTCTCGACCAGGAATATCTAGGAAGAACGGAATTTGAAGAAAAACTGAGATAAGGACAACAGTCGTAGTTCTTGACAGCTTTTAACAAGGACAACAGTCGTGGTTCTTGACAGCTTTTAACAAGGACAACAGTCGTAGTTCTTGACAGCTTTTAACAAGGACAACAGTCGTGGTTCTTGACAGCTTTTAACAAGGACAACAGTCGTGGTTCTTGACAGCTTTTAACAAGAACAACAGTCGTGGTTCTTGACAGCTTTTAACAAGGACAACAGTCGTGGTTCTTGACAGCTTTTAACAAGGACAACAGTCGTGGTTCTTGACAGCTTTTAACAAGGACAACAGTCGTGGTTCTTGACAGCTTTTAACAAGAACAACAGTCGTGGTTCTTGACAGCTTTTAACAAGGACAACAGTCGTGGTTCTTGACAGCTTCTAACAAGGACAACAGTCATCGTTCTTGACAGCTTTTAACATGGACAACAGTCATGGTTCTTAACAGCTTTTAACAAGGACAACAGTCGTGGTTTTTGACAGTTTCAGGGTTAAGTCTCCGTGTAGTTTTAACTCCTTTATCCTGTGTTAAGTGAACGTGTCTACTTAAGTTCAGTTTCTCAGGTATGTTTTGTCTCTCGTAAGTAATGTTAAATGAATGTGTATATAGTTAAGGTAGAGTCAGTGTAATTCTGAGTGTTTTGATGATTGCTCTCTCTCTCTCTCTCTCTCTCTCTCTCTGTCCTTTTTTTCCTTTTTTTCTCTCTTCTCTTTTTCTTTTTCCATCTCTTTCTCTATCTCTCTCTATATTTCAATAATTATCTGTTTCTTTCTGTGTTTATCATTCATCCCTTGTCTTTCATTTCTGGGGTGATGTCATTGCCAGGGTGATGTTGTCATTGTCAGGGTGTTATCCGTCTACTGCCCCTCCTCTGTGTACAATCAGCCGAGAATCTATTACAGGAACTGTTATACGTCTAAAACCTCAAGAGAATTTATCCTTTGTCTATGAAACAAGAGCAGTATACTCTGGAAATAACTGAGAATATAACCATTTGTCTAAAAACGAGAAGAGTAAATCAGTCCTAAAAAAAAAAAAAAAAAACGATTACCCGCCACTTGTCTAAAATAACAAATTATCATCTGCCATTTGTCTCAAAATCAACAGGAGTTTGTCAGTCTAGAAGCAACAGATCAAGAATATGACTCGAATCCGGCCAAGTCTTGATCTCCGTCGACTGTGAAATGACAGGAGTCTCTCTCCCTGACGCACACAAGCCCAGGGTCACGCCCGGCTGAGTACGGATCTACTCCTCCTTACCTCTCTCCCCACCCAACCTACATCCTACCTACCTCCCTCCTTGTCTACCCCCCCCACCCACTTACCCCCCATCACTCACTCCCTCCCCCTCCCTATACCTCCCTTACCCCCTCCCCTCCCACACCTCCTCCCTCCCTCCCTCCCTCCCTCCTCCATTTCTTACTTCCCACCTCCCACACCACCCACCTCCCACCCCTTCCCTCCCCACCCACTCCCCACCTCCCACCCCCACCTCCCCTACCCCACCCCACCCCTACCCACCCCACCCTCCCACCTCCCACTCCCACTTCCTCCCTCCCACCCACATCCACATTACATTTTCCTTCCTCCCCACCCCTCCCCACCCCACTCCCCACCCACTCCAACCTACATCCTCTACTAACTCTCCTACTCCACCCACCCACCTCTCGTCGGCCAGGCCAAGGTCGAGCTTTAACGGATCAGTCTGGAGAGGTATTAGGTTTGGAGGCCCAGCTGAAAGGTTACATTGAGTTGAGTTGCCAATTGTGAGTTGAAGGGCTTAGGAATAGGATTGGTCGATCAGAACCAAGTCCAGTTGATTTATCAATAATAGGTTTATAGACATCAACTGGCCGTCGACCTGGTGAATCAGGTCGGAAGTTGACACGGTTAGTCGGACTGGGTCCGTCATTCGGTCAGGTCATTCGGTCGGTCAGTCGGTCTGTCAACAGAGGCCGGTTGGTCTGTCGGTGGGGTGGTGTTTATTCTGGCCATGTCAATAAGGAACATCAACTCTGCATCCCAGACGATTAAA